AAAGCTAAAACAAACCAACATGAAAGGCGTAAGGCATGACGCAAGTAAGGCCAACAAAGGGGATTGCACTATACCTATTACAACCAAACATGGCATGACGTAACCAATAAAAATTAGAGTTATGGCATGTCAAAATAAGCCCAAAAACCCACTTAGATGGCATCCCAAATGCCTAAGCATGGTGGCATACGCAATGATGCACTCTTAAGGCATAAAACACCAAACCTTCTAAGCATAGAAAAGGTGACAAATGTGAGTGCAAGATCACACTATATAGACTGAAATATCATTTCAAATGATGCCAAATCATGAGAATAGTCTAAGCAATGCGTGCTAATGACTTGGACACTCAAAGCCAACAAGCCAGATTGAACCATGGCTATACAAAACAGTGCATGCATGACTAAAACAATATGAAACAGAGCTTAAGCATGGTAAAAGAAGGCTAAGAGCTTCATGGAGTTGAGCCAAAACATGCAAGAATGATAGTCTAAATGCATGATGCATGTTAAGGCAAATGAGAGGATTGCAAGACAAGTGTATGGTGCATGCAAGATGCTATCGAACTGACTTAAAACAGAGGTAAAGCATGGCAAAATAAAACCAAATACTTGCTGAAATGAAGCCAAAACATGCTAAGCAAACATGCTACCCATATGAGCCATTTATATTAGCAAATAAGACACAAGGAGAGGGGGGTGTCCCTCTCCTATTTAAGACTCCAAAACTACCTCTCCACCACTGAAAATCCTCTGGATTTCAGTGTGAGAAGGTCAAAAAAAGATGGTTCCAAAGCTCAAAAGGGAAAGCACAAAACAAGGCCAAACAAGGCCTAAGAGGGGGTAGACAACCCCAAACACAAAAGTGACCTTAAACAAACATCACAAGCATAAAAAATCAGAACTTTTTGTAGTAGAAAGTTAAGCTTAAAACAATATGCAAGTAGGTCTAAAAGCTTAAGCCAAAATGGGGGATTAAAAGGTAGTTTACTCACCCTTGAAGAACACCTTCAAGGACATAACTCCAGTAGCTTTTCTGAGCTTAAACCACTCCAAGAACTCTAAAACCAACTCCTAAGGACCTCAACAACCAAAGTATGGTGTTCTAGTAGGTGTTTGTGTGCAATAGTGTGAAGATATTACACTTTTGGGCACAAACAAAGGCTAAACAAGAGAGAGAGGTAAAATATATAGAGAGAGAGATATAGAACTTGTATCTCAAGATTTCAGAACCTCTGGAAAGGGAGGGGAGGCTCCCTTCTTATAGAATTTGAATTCTCAAGCTTGTTCAACAAGCTTGAGTCTTGAATGCAATCCCTCCATACACGTGTATGGAGGATGAGATTTGTGCCCACCAGGTGTCACAGCTGGCACAAAATATCTGCAAAAAGCAGATGGAAAGGTCTCGGCTCAAAAATATGGTCGATCGACCAAAAAGAGTGTCGATTGGCCAAAAAGGGTGCCGATCGGCCAACACTTATGGCCGATGGCAAGAAAACAAGGCTGATGGCATCATGCCTTAGCCGATGGGTTGCGGGGATGGCCAACAAGCCACCCTCTTCCCTCAGAAGCAAAAACACAAGTCCTTGGTCCATAACCAAGCACAAAACAGACAAGTTGAGAGATCTTAAGGCAAGGCGCGCAGCCGAGACCTTCGGGAACTCAAAACGAACACGAGCATGGATGATCATCGAGTGTTCAAACGATGACGTCCAAGTCTTGAGGACAGTAAAAAATGGGGTGTCTACAGTTGCCCCTCTTTGACAGAACTCGAAAGTCATAAGATGCCGGGAGTGAATGTCAAAGCCTACAGACGACCTATTTTTGACAAGGCCGAAGACTTAGACAAGCATACAAGATAACAAAGATATGCGCCCGCAGGCGGCGGCAAGATGCAAAGGACATGCACAATGCCGAACATAACTTATGATCATGCAAAGAGAGCTGGAATGAAGCATAACATGCAACAGTTTAAGTGAGCGAATAAGAATTAAACTACATTACATGCAGAAAGGATGTAAGAGAATTATATAATTCTCGCTACGTCTCACGCGGAGTACATACAATACTGTCTGGTTCGTCTGGTCGCACCAGCTTCAAATGAACCGTACATACAATATCGTGCCTGCAAAAGAAAGAAACATAACAGGTACAATATCGTTAGAAACATGCATAGCAATGCAAGTGAAAAGTGTGTGACAACGCAAGTAAAGGGGTGCATGACAATGCAACCTAAGTGTGACGCATAACAATGCAGGGAGGGCATGTGCGACAACGCAAGCCGAGTGGGATGCATAACAATGCAATTTGAAACAAGCATAACAATGCAAAGAGGGCATGCGCGACAACGCAAGCCGAGTGGGATGCATAACAATGCAATTTGAAACAAGCATAACAATGCAAGGAGGGCATGCGCGACAACACAAGTCGGGGTGCATAAAAATGCAATTTGAAACAAGCATAACAATGCAAGGAGAGCATGCTCAACAACTCAAGCCGGGGTGCATAAAAATGCAATTTGAAACAAGCATAACAATGCAAGGAGGGCATGCGCGACAACGCAAGCCGAGTGGGATGCATAACAATGCAATTTGAAACAAGCATAACAATACAAGGAGGGCATGTGCGACAACGCAAGACGAGTGGGATGCATAACAATGCAATTTGAAACAAGCATAACAATGCAAGGAGGGCATCGCGACAACGCAATCCGGGGTGGTGCATAACAATGCAATTTGAAACAAGCATAACAATGCAAGGAGGGCATGCATGACAACGCAAGCCGAGTGGGATGCATAACAATGCAATTTGAAACAAGCATAACAATGCAAGGAGGGCATGCGCGACAACGCAAGACGGGGTGCATAAAAATGCAATTTGAAACAAGCATGACAATGCAAGTGAAACATGCATGACAACACAAGTGAAGGGGTGCATAACAATGCAACCTAAGTGTGACGCATAACAATGCGGAGGGATGCGTGACAATGCAACCTAAGTGTGCGCATAACAACGCGGAGAGGTGCATGACAATGCAAGGAAAGGGAGCACAAACACATGTAAGTAAAGCATGCATGACAACGCAAGCAATGTGTAAAGCAAGAAAGGCATAAACACATGTAAGTAAAGCATGCGCGACAATGCAAGCAATGTGTAAAGCAAGAAAGGAATAAACACATGTAAGTAAAGCTTGCGCGAGAACGCAAGCAATGTGTGTAACAATGTGAAAGGGTGCATAAACACATGTAAGTAAAGCATGCGCGACAACGTAAGCAATGTGTGCAACAATGCGAAAGGGTGCATAAACACATGTAAGTAAAGCATGCGTGACAACGCAAGCAATGCGTGTAACAATGCAACAACAAAGAGAGGTATATATTCAACGGAAGCATGGTAAAGGCACGTTATTCGCGATGTTGAGATGCAGCTTTAGAGCAAGACGAAACATGCTCAATGCAAGAGCGAAAAGACGCATAACAAGCGCGCTTATTACAATCATGACAAAACATTGTAATGTAACACAAAGCAATTCTCAAATTTCGCAATATACAAAAGGATACGAAAAGGATACACCTCATACGTATCGAGTGCCGCACACGGAAGACACGGTTCGAGGTCAACACGAAGGCCGATTAAGCTTCAAAAGTGTACTTTCTTGCACTTTCTTGAGAGATGAAGGTACCAATCAACATAAACGTCCCAAACAAGGGTATTGGAGGTGCATCGACCACAAGGGAAGGCCATCGGCCATCCATCGGCCATAAAATGAGCTCATCGGCCAACAATTTAGCCGACCGGCTAACAATTTGGCCGATCGGCCAAAAATGGCAATTTTAGGGTAGTTTTGTTCATTCACCTCGGGTTTTTAAATATAGGGCCTTAAACCTTATTTCCTCACTTCCTCTTGGTCGAAAATCATTGCTCTCTCTCTCCAGGTCATTTTCCCTCCTTAGATCTGAGCTTTTCTCTTGTTTTCGAGCCTCCCACAACGTTCGATTCGCGAAACCCTCTTCGTTCCAAACACTTTGAACCGAACGAAACACGATTTCGGTGCCACATTCTTGATTTCCACCTCTTAGAGTTTGTTTCCCCCGAGTTTACCTCGATCTTCGTGTCTTTTCCCACACTCTGACCTTTTCTCCCATTTTTCACCCCTCGGGGTTCACGTTTGGTTGACTTTTGGCATTCTTGCCCATTTTCCACACCCTCGGCCATTTTTTTTTCACTCTTCTTGAGATGGCAGACGACGTTCCACGGGGTGGGACTCCCCCAGAGATGGATACAGACCCTAAGGTCGAGCTCCTACCTCTTAGCGATCGACCATTCGACCCGGCGACATACTGGCCGGCGATTTACATACTGCCTCTTGATAGCATCCGTCAGTTTAGGAGCTACGCGCGAGGTATGCCATTGGAGCTCTTGCTACGCGAGCCATAGTTGCATTTATCTTTTGGCGCCGCTGAGGTATACCCTTCCTCTTTACTTTCTGCAATGTATATTGTAGTCTTCGGATAGCAAGTACTGCTCTGTAACTGAATAACCCAAACACACTGATACATCACATGCTTAGTTCACCATGAGCACAGCCACACCCGATATCTGTGTAAACTCGAACACATGCACACACACTGTATTTTCATCAACTTTGAAAGCATTCAAACGCTGTATTTCTAATACTGCTTCGCATTTGTTTGTCTTTGAACACAAGGAGATTCCCATGCCATCCGAGGGTATGGGAACACCATTGCCCGAGGATGGTACATGGAGTTTCCCGATGCGGTCCTCCATATCATTGATCAAGCCGGCTTCGGCATTTTCTGCATGGGACTCTCGCGCCTTACTGCGAGTAGGCCCCTTTTAGGTGCACTGGTGGAGAGGTGGTGGGACACCACCGATTCCTTCCACCTTTCTACTGTAGGGGAGATGACGATGACTCCCTTCGACTTCTCGATGCTCACCGACATCGAGATAGGGGGTGATCCGATTCCTTTCGACACCGACATGGGCGAGTGGGACGCTGCCCAGATCCACTTGCTCAGCACTCGTCCACCTCTCTCCAGGCCAGGATTCGTGAGGTATTCTTGGTTCGAGGACCATTTCAGAGTGCAGACGCCGACGACCCCGAAGGAGGTGGATCAGTACGCTCATGGATTCATCATGTTCTTGCTAGGGACCACCCTCTTCGTCGACCGGGCGAACACTTTTGCCCTTTATCTGCTAAGCGCGTTGGTGGACGTGACCAGGATCCGTCACTACGACTAGGGTGGCGCAGGCTTGGCCACACTCTACAGATACATGAGCTCATCCTCTCGCCGCAGCGGACACTTGCTCGAAGGCTACTGGCGAGCCTGGGAGGTATATTTTCCCTTTTTGTCTTTTCAATTCTGCTTTACATTATCTGTACACCACACACACTGCACAATACACTTCACATGCTGCATAATACACTGGACACACTGCACAACACACTGCACACACTGCATATGATTCTGATTTCTGCTTTATCTGCATACTGCCTTACTGATAAGCATACTCATTCCTACCCTATTACATTTTGTAGTTGTGGGTGTATGCTTATTTTCCTAGGCTCGCCCCAGTGCCAGATGTGGAGATCCCCCTCGGCGTTCCATACTCTCATCGCTATGACGTGAGGTGTGAGCGGAGGCCACGGGAGTCTTTTCTATTCTTCCGCAGATACTTTGACACCATCACCGCCGCAGAGGTATTTCAAACTTTACAGTTCATTTAAGCTTCACTTTACATCGTACTTTTAATAGTAGATAACAAACTGCATACCTGATCATTTGCAGATCACCTGGCAGCCCTGGGCCGCGTTGCTATAGGCAGTGAGGGATCAGTGCGCGGGCGCTCGGGAGACTGCCCGGTTCAGGATATTGCTAGAGTGTCTGGTCTGTCGGGCTTGGTATTTCGGGGAGCGCTTCCTGCGGCAGACCCTCGGCTTACCAGAGTAGATAGTCCCGAGGCCACCTCCTACCCACACAAGGGCTACCGAGAGGTAGACCCTGCAGGAGATGATGGACTACACGATCGGCTAGGACTCTGACTTCTTTAGAGATGAGGGCGACTACACTGAGTTCATCCAGACTTATCTCATGCGACCATTGGCTGGTGTTCGCCGAGTAGAGAGAGAGAGGCCTGCAGTGCCAACGGCAGGAGCAGGAGCACCGAGGGCGACTCAAGCCCATAATAGGAGTGGGTCCCGGAGAGGACAGGGAGTTGGGTGGCCAGAGCTGCCCACGACCATGACATGCCGAGGACAGGGTAGGAGACTGTAGGCACGCCCGCGAGAGGGGGGGCCTTTGCTACAGTTCGGACTCGCGATTTTTGTTGTCGCGGTTCTTAATCTGAACCAAAGAGTCCAAATCTGGCAAATCGTTTTGAGAAACAGATTTTTGAAAAAGTAGTGCCAAACATGGACTGCTTTGCCAGATACAGAGTCGCCACCTAAATATTTTAAAATGGGGGAATTTAGGAAACCCTGACTCGGTGCCGAAGGCCACATGTCCGTCATCACCGGAGTTGTCTCGGCTCGGGAGCTTGGGTACGATCGGGGAAGGTCAGCTATGAGCACCCCCTTTCGCCCGGTCCGAAGACCGGCGTCTACTAACCGTGATATCCGTTTTTGAAAACTTTACGTGTTCTTATTCCATTTATTAGCCTAGAATTACTATGTTATGCGCGCAGCAAACAAGTATAGACTAGATTGCCTAATTTGGAAATAAACATTGCATATCCGTTTGGTTTGAAAATGCTTTGGAATTTGCTACTCGCAAGTAGGCTAAAACACGGATTTTAATGAGTTTTTCCAACTCAAACAATCCAACCTTCACCCACAGGCATTCAGACAGTTTAACACGTAAGCACTTAGCCGCATGGCAGGCATACTGCCATGGCAACACTCACACGCATGCGGGATGCTAAAGTATAAATACTTACATCGTACTCCGTGCCAAAACAGTAAACCAGTTAGCAAACATGCATGTCCTAGTTCATGTTAAAAACGGCTAATGCAACACATACAGGATGCAATTAGATAGGCTCGGCTAACCTAAACATGTCATGTGAAAATGCACAATTATCACGTATTCAGTTTGGGAATTGAAGTATTGATGCAGTTAGCGTGATGTACCGAGCCTAATGCATGCAATACAAATGCATGGATGCACACATACATAGCATAGGGTATGCTAAATTAAACGTGCCCTAATACTAACCATTAAAGCGGGTAAGTAAAAGGGAAGAAAGAAGTGAGGTTGGAAGACATACACACCACCCACGCACGCTTATTACAGATTTACCCTCACTCGGAGGGACCGAATAAATATTACAAATTAATTAACTACGCAAGCTAATTAATATTACAAATTGCCTAATTTAATTAACAAATTAAATAGACTAATTAAAACAGGAAAATGCCTCGGGAAGCACGCCGCCATGCGCAAGTTGCCTCTGTTTTCCTTCTTTCACTCCTCTGGAGGCTGTCAAAACCTCAGGACTGCATCCCTGGACTATCATGATAATGACTCAATGGGGCATGTGCCTCGATTCTCGGACCACCAATCACGCATTTCCATGCATGATGGCCCAAAGAACCAAGTATGCAACTTTGATTTCAAATGTATGCAAACCAAACAAACAAAACTCCCAATCCCTATCACCCAAGTCAAGGGACAAGGAATGCATGCAAGATGCAATACAACCTAGGCATACAAGCTAAGGATGCAACATGGCATAGCAATGAACTCATGCAATTATGCAAGCATACATGTGGCAATGCAAATGGATGGCAAGATGGGCTTATACATGAATTAGGCAGCTCTAAATAGGACCTAAAACAGTGGCCATAAGTGCTAAAGAGTGAGGGCTAAATGGCATACACACACACATGCACATAAGG